AATATGTAGAAATTCGTATAAATATGTAGAAATTCGTGAAAATTCCTAGAAATTAAACAGAAATTCATAGAAAATCGTAGAAATTTATAGAAATTCGTAAAAATTAGTAGAAAGTCGTAAAAATTCGTATAAATACGTAAAAATTCGTGGAAATTCCTAGAAAATCGTAGAAATTTATAAAAATTAGTAGACATTCGTGGAAATTCAAAAAAATTTACAAATATTCGCGAAAATTCGTAAAAAAATAGTAGAAATTTGTAAAGATTAGTAGAAATTCATATAAATACGTAGAAATTCGTGAAAATTCCTAGAAAATCGTAAAATTAGTAGAAATTTGTGGAAATTTCAAGAAATTCAAAAATGTTCGTGGAAATTCATAAAGATTAGTGGAAATTCGTATAAAAGTTAGTAGAAATTCGTATAAATACGTAGAAATTCGTGAGTTCCTAGAAATTAACAAAAATTCATAGAAATTAGTAGATATTCATAGAAAATCGTAGAAATTTATAGAAATTCGTAAAAAAAAGAAAGTAAGTACAACAAAAGTAAGGCCAAAGAAAGCCTAAAAAAAAGTAAATTAAAAAAAGAATAAAGAAAGTAAGTCCAAAAAAAGTACGTGCAAAGAAAGTAAGTACAAAGGAAGTACAATTAAGTTCAAAGATAAAAAACTTGGGGAGTATAAAAAGAAACAAATTTCAAACAAAGTCCAAAAAAAGGTTCTTTGTGCATTCATCATTGGGTCAACAAAGATAATTTTGGTTAAGAAGCTAAAAAAATACTAAAATATAGGGGGCGCCGGACAAGCTGCTTGTTCCTTTCGCCAGCTGCTATTTTAAATACTTCTGTTAATATATTTTTATGACAGATCAACAAAATGGGTTCGTGTCTTCTTAACTTAATATGGATGCAACTAATTATATGTGGTCAGTTAATTATAAATTAGCAACATACAAATCGTTGTTTTTTTTTTTGAATCTATTCTAATTTTTGGTAATTTATAGGTCTAAGTTTGATTCAAGGGTGTTTTAATATTAATTCATTTCTAAAGTGTTTATAAATAACATAGATAATAATGGAAGGGGAGGAATTATTTGTAAGATCAGATCGTTGACAGTTGACAGGTTAGAACACATTTAGACATATATTAAGTTAACTTAAGTTGGTAACAGTGTTGATAGCTTTATATTGTGACAGTTGACATATGCTAGGTTAGCTTAGATCGACAATATTATTGACAGGTTCATATTGCGACAGTTGGCATATATTAAGTTAGCTTAAGTTGATAATACTGATGACAGGTTTATATTTTGACAGTTAACATATGTTAGGTTATCGTTCTACACAAGCTATGATGGTCTAAAAGTTAGAACGTTAGAACGGTAATCCAGAGGTCTAAGAATTTTTTCAATTTTTCAAAATTTTCTTTGCTGTGTCACCCCGATTTCTCTAAATTAATACTAATATTATTCACCCTTGATTTTTATAACTTAATCTACGACGTTTTAACAGTTAGCGCTCGACATCAACCTATATATGTGTACCAGTAATAAAATATGGAATTAAAGAAGTTTATTACTAGAAATTCTGAGATTACTTATTGTAAAACTATGACGCTTAACACGTTAACCGCGGTTAATGTGACTGAGGAATTAGCACTTCATCAGGATTGAGAAATTTTTTGAAACAATTACAGAGACTGACTTAGTCAATATAACCAAGACACTTTTTCGGAGCTTTTTCTAGCTTTCTAATAGATTTTTCTAGAATTTACAAATTTTTCTAGGTTTTCCAAGCTTTTCATTGTAGTAGTGATGAATATTTAAACATTTCTTCTGTGGAAATTCATTTTTGCGCCCGCAGTCAACGTGTTAAGATAGTTTTACATTTATGGTGCGATTGTTTTATTATTTTTTAATCTGACGAATGTAATTAATTAACAAGTTTACAAATACTTTACGTTCGTCAGATTGTGTAAGCTTAAGCTTATTTGTTAAACAAATAACATACATCATAGAGGCACCACTGAATTGCATGAATTGGTCTCATTTACAACCGTTTCGATTACATTTTCATAATGAAGCTTAATTAACAACGACCTAAAAATGGAGACGACAAACCAGCTAAAGAAAATTATTATAAGTTTTTTTAAGAATCTTTTTCAATTTTCAAAATTATTGTACTTTACTCAAGATATGTTAGATTTTTACTAAATTCCTTATGTATGTAAAGATTAGTTTTGTTTCCTAATCAGAAAGAGACCACATCACGTCAGTTATCAATTATTGTTTTGTTTAAAATGTAACTTTTGTCAGTCTGAAATTTATAGAAATTAGTCGAAATTCATAGAAATTTGTAGAAAATCGTAAAAAATTAATAGAAATTCGTAAAAAATAGTAGAAATTCGCAAAAAAGTTAGTAGAAATTTATAAAAAAGTTAGTAGAAATTTATAAAAAAGTTAGTAGAAATTCGTATAAATACGTAAAAACTCGTGGAAATTCCTAGAAATTCATAGAAATTTATAGAAAATCGTAGAAATTCGTAAAAATTAGAAGAAATTCGTAAAAATTCCAAGAAATTCACAAATATTCGTGGAAATTCGTAAAAAATAGTAGAAATTCGTAAAGATTAGTAGAAATTTGTAAAAAAGTTAGCAGAAATTCGTATAAATACGTAAAAATTAGTAGAAAATCATAGAAATTAGTAGAAATTCATAGAATATCGTAAAAATTCATAGAAATTCGTAAAGATTAGTAGAAAGTTTGTAGAAATTCGTATAAATACGTAAAAATTCGTAGAAATTCATAGAAAATCGTAAAAATTCATAGAAATTTGTAAAAATTAGTAGAAATTTGTATAAAGTCCTAAAAATTCACAGATATTCGTGGAAATTCGTAAAAAAATAGTAGAAATTCGTAAAGATTAGTAGAAATTCGTATAAATTCATAGAAATTAGTAGAAATTCATAGAATATTGTAAAAATTCATAGAAATTCGTAAAGATTAGTAGAAAGTCGTAAAAAGTTTGTAGAAATTCGTATAAATTTGTAAAAATTCGTAGAAATTCATAGAAAATAGTAAAAACTCATAGAAATTTGTAAAAATTAGCAGAATTTCGTGTAAATTCCTAATAATTCACAGATATTCGTAAAAAATAGTAGAAATTCGTAAAGATTAGTAGAAATTCGTAAAAAAGTTAGTAGAAATTCGTTCAAATGCGTAGAAATTAGTAGAAATTCGTGAAAATTCCTAGAAATTCACAAAAAGTCATAGAAATTAGTAGAAATTCATAGAAATACGTAGAAAAGTTAGTAGAAATTTCTAAAGGTTAGTAGAAATTCGTGAAAATTCGTAGAAATTCATCAAATTTGTAGAAATTTGTAAAAATTCGTAGAAATACGTAGAAATTATTAGAAATTTGTAAAAATTAATAGAAATTCACAAAAATTAGTAGAATTTCGTGAAAATTCTTACAAATGCATCGAAATTTCTAGAAATTCATAAAAAAACTTTTATCTATTGCAAATAAAATTTAAAATAACCGGTTTCGTCTCCAGACCACAATATACTGTAGCTTAATACGCCGACACCTCTTCTCATATGCACAGTCAATTATTTATATGTCTTAGCTATTAGATTAAAAATCGGTATATAAAAATTGAGTATTCTGGCAGTGCTTTGTGGCATGGAACTTCTAATTTACAAAAACAATATAAAAAAACCTAAAAACTAAGTACACAAAATGTTCTAATGTTCGAGATACTTCCAAGTGTTAAAAAATTGTTCAGGTAAATAACTTAAAGAAGTTTAATATCGTCGAAATTAGGGTTACCATATTTAAAAATAATTTGTTCTGACATTCCTAATAAAATTTTAAAAATAGGACAAAATATTATAATTCCTAAAAAAATAATAAAACTCCGGACAAAATAATAAACACTCCTGATAAAATACTAAGACTCCAGGTAAAATTATAAAACTTCGGACAAAATAATTACTAAGTTTTATTTTGTTTGAATTTTTAAAAAATATCCGGAATTTTTATTAGGAATGTTAGAAAACTGGATTATTCGCATTTTTTTTGAAAATTTATATGTATATTTGTCCAGAGTTTCATTATTTTGTCCTGAGTTTTATTATGTTGTTTTATTATTATTGTTTTGTATGGAGTTTTATTATTTAGTCCGCAATGTTATTAATTTGTTAGGATTTATAAAGAATTTACCGGAATTTTATTTTGTCCGAAGTTTTATAATGTTGTCCGGATTTTGAATTTTTATCCGGATTTTTAAAATAACCGAAATTTTTATTAGGAATGTCAAAAAAATGTATTTTTGAATATGGTAACCCTAACCAACTTTTTTTTTATTACTGTGATATTTCCCATCTCTTTCCTACTGTTTCACCTCGTATTCAACAGAGAACTTATCGTAACATTAGAACATCCTGTATATGATATGCTTTACAATTAAATATCTAATTAAAAAATGATATGTACAAATATAAAAAGTTTTTAGTCTTGGACTCTTGTGCTTAAGAGATAGATTGTTAATAATAATTATTTTTTTAACAAAAAAATTGTTAAATAAAAAAAATACAAAATTAATGTCTCTATTCTCTCTCATCGTTAAGTAAAGAATAATACAATAAACAAAAATAGAACGCTATTTTTGATAAATAGGTATATAAAAATAAATAAAAGATGTCAAATCACTTAATATAAAAAAATCAGTCTAAAAAATAATTTAAATCATATTATGCACTTTTGGGAAATATATATTTTTTTTCTATAATTTAAAATTTTTTAAATAAGATTTAATATCTCACACGCACGCACACACTTATAGCTATAAAATAAATAAACTTAATACTAAAATCAATTACAAAAACCGCGTCAACAGGTCAATACATTCTCTTAACATGGAAGCGTACGATATATTTGAAAAATCAGTGATCATAAATTTGGTTTTCGTGCCCCTAACAATTATTACGCTTTTTATTATTTACATAGATTTAAGTACTTCGGCGATTTGGGAGGAAATTTCTGTAAACGACGGCCGTTTCTGAGGATCTATGTTCCAACATAATTCCTGAAAATATTAAAAATAATTCATTAATCAATACATTATTATAATATGACTCATTTTACACGAGTCAAAGTTTCTTTACCCATAGATTATTAAACTCTTAATATTATAAGTAGTATTTTGTTGTGATGTGAGAACTGTACACAGTAGAATGAAAAAAAAAAAAAAAAATTGAATCAATATAATACTTTCATTATTTAGAGAAACTCAAAGAAATAAATTCGAAGAAAGTCAAAGAAATTCAAAGAAATTTAAAGAAATTCAAAAAAATTCACAGAAATTTAAAGAAAATTAGTGAAATTTAAAGAAACTTGGAGAAATTCAGAGAAATTTAATGAAAATTAAAGAAACTTAAGAGATATTTAAAGAAACATAGAGAAATATACTACGTTGACAGACACTGTGCCGCTACTGAGCATATTTTGTAAAGTAAGATAGAAAAGTTGCTGACTTTTATTAACCTACTTTAGAGGGGGGGATTTCATGATTCAGTCTACAAAAATAGGCGTCTATCAAAGTGTTAAAGAAATTTAGAGACATTTAGAGAAAAATTTAGAGACATTTAAAGAAATTTGCAGTAATATGTTATAATAAAAGGACTCATGACTGGATCTACATAGTAAAATGAAAAGGAACTTTGATTAATATATACTTTCCATATTTACAGATATTTAGAGAAGAGAAATTAAAAGAAATTGAAATTAAAAGAAATTTAGGTAAATTTAGAGAGATTTGCAGTAATTTGTTGTGATGTGATGACTGGCTGTACACAGTAAAATGAAAAGGAGCCTTAGATATACTTTCCATGAACTTAAGAAAAATTTAAAGAAATGTAAACAAATCTAAAGAAATTCAAAGAAATCTAGACAAATTCAAAAAATATTAGAAAAATTTGTAGCATTCTGTTGTAATGCGAGTACTGATGACTGTCTGTACACAGTAAAATAAACAGGAACGTTGGATCAATATATACTTTCCATATTTACAAATATTTAGAGAAATTTAGAGAAATTCAGAGAAATCTAAAAAAAGATATAAAGAAATTTAGAAGAACATGGCGCTCAATGTAAAGTATTCTGAGTTTTAAACGACTATAAATAAATTTAAAGAAATACAATGAAAGGATGTGAGTGTATTCGAAAAATTGAGCCGAATATAATGCATTTGATCCTGGAAATTTCTCGATTTTCGTAATTTTTTAATATCATTCTTGAGACAAAAAAAACATCTTTTAAATAGAACTCTTGATATTGGCTTGAAAAACTAATCTGGAAATTTAATGCACTGAATTTTATTTTTGCAAAGACAAGTAATTAAATAACAATTACATAACGGGGTTTAATTAATTTACAGAAATTTAGAAACATTTAGAGGAATTTAGAAAAATTAAGAGAAATTAAGAGATATTAAGAGAAATTAAGAGAAATTAAGAGAAATTAAGAGAAATTAAGAGAAATTAAGAGAAATTAAGAGAAATTAAGAGAAATTAAGAGAAATTAAGAGAAATTAAGAGAAATTAAGAGAAATTAAGAGAAATTAAGAGAAATTAAGAGAAATTAAGAGAAATTAAGAGAAATTAAGAGAAATTAATTAAGAGAAATTAAGAGAAATAAACAGAAATTTAGAGAAATGTAGAGAAATAAAGAAAAATTAAATTAAATAAAGAGAAATTTAGAAAAATATAGAGAAATTTAGAGAAAATTACATAAAATTAGAGAAATTTAGAAAAATTTACATAAAGAATGTAGGATATCCTGGATTTCAAACGATTTTTTATTTTTTAATGTGTTGATTTTGGGATTAGAAAAATCAACTCTTAATGGAACATTTATTTGTAGCTATACAAGGTGTGTTCGAAAAGTTAACCTGTATATAATGCATTTGATCCTGGAAAACGTAATTTTTGATATAATATTCTTGAGACCAAAATAAAATATCTTTGAAATAAAAGATTTGGTCTTAGTTATATAGGGTGTCAGAAAAATTGACCTGGGAGTTTAATTCACTGAATTTTATTTTTGCAAATATAAGTAATTAAATAACAATTACATAACAGAGTTCAATTTACAGAAATTTAGAGAAATTACGAGAAATTTACAAAAATTAACAAAACTTTACAAAGATTTACAAGAATTTAACAAAAATTTATATAGATTTTCTGGCAAATTGACGTAAATTTCTATTAACATATTTTTTTGTTAATTTTTGTAAATTCCTGTAAATTTATGTAATTTGATGTAAATTTATGTAATTTGATGTAAATTTATGTAATTTGATGTAATTTTGTTTAAATCCATTTATGGGACGAACATGGCGAAGAGACATTGCACGCTTTCATGGTGATACGTCCGTCAGTAGAAAAAAAATAATCAAAAATTTGTAAAAATGACATATCAAAATAATATTTTGTAAAATGTTAAAAAAGTTCTAATAATATCTATAGGTCCTTCGAGTATTTAAAAATTGTCTTTCACGTATTCAAATTTTATGTAATTTTGTTATTTTTATGTAATTTTATTTTTATATAATTAATTTAATTTTATGAAATTTTATGTAATTTTATGTAATTTTATGTAATTTTATGTAATTTTATGTAATTGTATGTAATTTTACGTAATTTTGTGTAATTGTATGTAATTTTCTGTAAACTTTTCTAAATTTCTGTAAATATTTAAATATTTATGTAAACGAATTAGATTGTAATATTCAAGAAAATAATAATAATTAGTGTAACTAACCTGTAACTCAACTAATCCCTCCGTCGTAGCCGTGTGGGGTTTCCATTCGATTTTCTTCTCCTTCAGCTTATTTAAGAAAGTATTATCGTTGATTTTCGATTGAGGTAACTCCCCTTTAGCAAATATTTCCCACATCAATACCGCAAAAGCGTAAACGTCGCTCTTCGTCGAATACTCGTCTTCGTAGACGGCTTCGTAAGGCAGCCATCTTAATGGAATAATCTAAAACGGAACATTTTTTATTTATACTGAAAGATTAAGATATAAGATATAAGATATAAGATATAAGATATAAGATATAAGATATAAGATATAAGATATAAGATATAAGATATAAGATATAAGATAAAGATAAAGATATAAGATATAAGATATATAAGATAAGATATAAGATATATAAGATATAAGATATATAAGATAAGATATATATAAGATAAGATATAAGATATATATAAGATAAGATAACTTACGTTATTAACGTGCTTGCAATATTCTTGACTATACGGATCCCTGGTCAATCTAGGAAGACCGATTTTGGCAACCAAAACAGACGAAATGAGACAATTCCGAGCAGCCAAATCTTTGTGGACCTGTCTGTTATTCGATAAATATTCCATACCGCGACTCAATTGTTGAAGAACTGCTACGCTTTGAACTGGTGTAAGCGGTGGTGGAGCACCGTTTTGTGTAGCCATGAGGAACTTCTTTAAATCACCCTAAAAAATAAACCTTTTAATTACATCGAGATCTTGGATTAAGTGGAAACTTATTTACCCAATCAGTGTGTTCTAGAATCATAAAATGCGGCTCGGCTTCTCTGCAAAGTCCGAATAATTTAGTGATATTCTCGTGGGAGAATTTATTGAACAAGTCCATCTCTCGTTTAAATTCCTGCAGACATACTTCGTCTTTGGTATTATTTAAAGCTTTTATTAGTACGTGTACTTCTTTATCCTCTGTTTGAGCATCATCGGATGTTGTTTGGGAATTTTTAGAATGTCGTTTGTTGTTTATGAGGACGCTTTTTGGGATTTTGGAAACCATCACGTCACCGAATTCTCCACGACCTTCGACAAATAGCCATTGTTTAACAGAATAGTACAAAATTAATAAAAATCGTGTAGAAAATAAAGGTTATAGATAAATCCTTATTAAATCGTTATAAAACTTTTATAAGTCTTCTATAAAACTGCTATAAAAATTCTATAACACTGCTATAAAACAAAACTGCTGTAAAACTTTTAAAAACCTTCTACAAAACTTTTATAATTCTTTTATTAAACTTCTATTAAAATGCTATAAAAATTCTATAGAACCTTTATAAAATTTAAAACTGCTATAAAACTTCTAAAAAACTTTTATAAAACTTCTGTAAAATTACTATAAATCTTCTATAAAACCTCAAAAAATTAAATAACCTAAAAACCTACTAATACATTTTTTTAATTCTTATGTATTTTCCAACCCTGATACTAAAATTTTTAAAACTTAACTTACCAATTAATTTTAATTCCTTCAAATGGGTCCTCGATAAAGCTAACTTATCATAGAGACTTGATTTGGACTTTTTGGACTGACTCGAAGATTGAGAATTTGTAGTTTCGGCTCCATCGCTCCTTTGACCTTCTTTGTGAGTCTCTAGACCGTTTAGTTTCGGTTTTGCCGTGACCGAGTTGGTACCGTTAATGGGTTCTTTAAGTTCTGTATGCTCCATATCGCCATTTTCCGTTTTTGTAACTGAGAAAAATAATACAAATACCGAATGAAAATCAGTATAAAAATAAGAAAGTTTATATACACATATATACATTTTCGGCGTCCTTTTTGTATTTTACTCAAAAACGATGCGTTTTTATAAAAAAATTTACTGGGTATTTTTTGAAGAACATTCGATTTTCTATCGATTATGTCCCTATACATTTTTTGCTAAACTTCATATTTTGTCCGCTAGAGCACGCTGAAAAAACAAATGTACATATTTTGCGGATTTTCGTATTTTATATGAAAACCACGCACTTTGGTAGAAAATTTTATCAGACTAAAATGATAGAGCGGAAAATTTCCTACCAAACCTAAAAAGAAAATAAAAACAATTGCACTTACTGTCACTTAGTGGAATTTTTCTAGACTTTCTCCTGTATCTACACCAAACCATTAAACCAATGACCAATACTATGTACGCTCCTGCTACAGACATAGTAATTAGAACTGCTTTTGTTACTGTTGAATCGCTTGCGTGCATTCCGTCTAAAGCTGAAAATTAAGCAAAAATTAAAGAAAGGTTATCATATTCAAAAATACAATTTCCTAAAGTTCATAATAAAACTTTTGGACAAAATAATAAAACTCCGGACAAAATAATAAAAACCTGTACAAAATAAAATTCCGGACATAATAATAAAAACACCGGACAAAATAATAAAACTCCGGACAAAACAATAGTTATAAAACTTTACAAAACCTCATATAAAATATAAAACCTTATAATATTTTACAAAACCTTATAAAATCTTATAAAACCTTCTAAAACTTAATTAAACCTTATAAAATCTAAAACCTCATAAAACTTTATAAAATCTTAAAAAACTTTATGAAACTTTATAAATCCTTATAATACTTGATAAAACTTAAAACCTCGAAAGCCCTATAAAATCTTATAAAAACATCATAAAACTTTATAAATCAATTATTTTCGATCCATCGATTATTTTATGTCAATCGATTATTTTCTGTTGATCGATTATTTTGATTATTCGATTAATTGATATATTACGATTATTTCGAGTATTTCGATTGTTTCTATTAGATTTTTTCGATTATTTTCGACTAATCGATTATTTTCATTTAATCGATAATTCGCATAATCGATTATTTTCGATTTATAGGTTATTTTCAGCTAACCGATTGTTTTTGACTAATCGATTATTTCGATTAATCAATTTGATGATTATTTCGATTAGTCGATTTGACGATTATTTCGATTATTTTCGACTAATCGATTTTTTTCATTTAATCGATAATTCACATAATCGATTATTTTCAATTGATCGATTATTTAGAATAACCGATTATTTTGATTAATCGATTGTATCGATTAATCGTTAATTTCGATTTATCGATTATTTTCGTTTAATCTGTTATTTTGATTAATCGATTATTTCGATTTATTAATTATTTTAGTTAAATCGATCACTTGATTAACCAATTATTTCAATTAATCGAAAATAATCAATTATTTTAAATAATCGATTATTTATTTTGATAATGACCCAGCCCTAATAATGGTCGTAGGAAAAATATTGTTCGTAGCTAGGGCTAAACATCCACTCATGCGAAATATAACACTTTGCACACTAGTTAAATAATATACCAATTGTGATTTTAAAAAATTGAAAATTAATTAATATAATACTTACAGTGAACAATCAACTGCACTTCTTTCCTGTTGAGTCCAGCGCTACTGCCCGCGGTACAACCGTACTTATTTTCGTCTTCTTTCCTCACTTGCCTAATGTACAACGTTCCGTTATCTAAAACTTTAAATCGTTCCAAATCGAAGTCGTTCATGTTCAAATTTTTGTCCCATTGGATCGTCGGTTTGGGATCTCCTTCTACCACGCAATCGATGGACACCGATTCTCCTTCTATCGCTTCAGTCGGAGTCTTCGGCAGTACGCTGAATTTGGGCGCCACTAAAAACATTTTTAAAATGAAGATGGAGTTCCGCGCATCGATTTTTAACTATTTTTTAACTATCTTTAACTATTTTTAACTATCTTAAACTAAACTATCTTTAACTATTTTTAACTATCTCTAACTATCTCTAACTATCTCTAACTATCTCTAACTATCTCTAACTATCTCTAACTATCTTGAACTAAACTATCTTGAACTATCTTTAACTATCTATCTTCAACTATCTTTAACTATATTTAACTATCTTGAACTATATTGAACGATCTTGAACTATCTTGAACTATCTTTAACTATTTTTAACTATATTTAACTATCTTGAACTATATTAAACTATCTTGAACAATCTTTAAGTATCTTCAATTATATTTAACTATATTTACCTATCTTTAACTATCTTCAACTATCTTCAACTATCTTCAACTATCTTTAACTATCTTGAACTACCTTGAACTATCTTTAACTATCTTTAACTATCTTTAGCTATCTTTAACTAAACTATCTTTAACTATTTTTAACTGTCTTTAAATAAACTATTTTTTAACTGTTTTAACTATTTTTAACTGTCTTTAACTAAACTATTTTTTAACTGTTTTAACTACTTTTAGGTATTTTTAAGTGTTTTTAACCTTTTTAAATGATTTTAACTATTTTTAACTTTTTTTAAATGATTTTAACTATTTTTAAATATGTTTAACGGTTTTTAACTATTTTTAACTATCTTAAACTAAACTATCTTTAACTATTTTTAACTATCTCTAACTATCTTGAACTAAACTATCTTGAACTAAACTATCTTGAACTAAACTATCTTGAACTATCTTTAACTATCTTCAACTATCTTCAACTATCTTTAACTATATTTAACTATCTTGAACTATATTGAACGATCTTGAACTATCTTCAACTATCTTCAATTATATTTAACTATATTTACCTATCTTGAACTATCTTTAACTATTTTTAACTATATTTAACTATCTTGAACTATATTAAACTATCTTTAACTATTTTTAACTATATTTAACTATCTTGAACTATGTTTTTAACCTTTTTAAATGATTTTAACTATTTTTAACTTTTTTTAAATGATTTTAACTATTTTTAAATATGTTTAACGGTTTTTAACTATTTTTAACTATCTTAAACTAAACTATCTTTAACTATTTTTAACTATCTCTAACTATCTTGAACTAAACTATCTTGAACTAAACTATCTTGAACTAAACTATCTTGAACTAAACTATCTTAAACTATCTTTAACTATCTTCAACTATCTTCAACTATCTTTAACTATATTTAACTATCTTGAACTATATTGAACGATCTTGAACTATCTTCAACTATCTTCAATTATATTTAACTATATTTACCTATCTTGAACTATCTTTAACTATTTTTAACTATATTTAACTATCTTGAACTATATTAAACTATCTTTAACTATTTTTAACTATATTTAACTATCTTGAACTATGTTTTTAACCTTTTTAAATGATTTTAACTATTTTTAACTTTTTTTAAATGATTTTAACTATTTTTAAATATGTTTAACGGTTTTTAACTATTTTTAACTATCTTAAACTAAACTATCTTTAACTATTTTTAACTATCTCTAACTATCTTGAACTAAACTATCTTGAACTAAACTATCTTGAACTAAACTATCTTGAACTAAACTATCTTGAACTATCTTTAACTATCTTCAACTATCTTCAACTATCTTTAACTATATTTAACTATCTTGAACTATATTGAACGATCTTGAACTATCTTCAATTATATTTAACTATATTTACCTATCTTGAACTATCTTTAACTATTTTTAACTATCTTGAACTATATTAAACTATCTTTAACTATTTTTAACTATATTTAACTATATTAAACTATCTTGAACAATATTTAAGTATCTTCAATTATATTTAACTATATTTACCTATCTTTAACTATCTTCAACTACCTTGAACTATCTTTAACTATCTTTAACTATCTTTAGCTATCTTTAACTAAACTATCTTTAACTATTTTTAACTGTCTTTAAATAAACTATTTTTTAACTGTTTTAACTATTTTTAACTGTCTTTAACTAAACTATTTTTTAACTGTTTTAACTACTTTTAGGTATTTTTAACTAGTTTTAACTATTTTTAACTATTTTTAACTATTTTTTAACTATTTTTAACTATTTTTAACTATTTTTAACTATTTTTAACTATTTTTAACTGCTCTTTAACCGTTTTTAACTGTTTTAAACAGTTTTTTACCGGTTTTAACTGTCTAACTATTTTTAACTGTATTTAACTTTCTCTTTATATTTTTTGTTTTTACATTTTATTTATTTTTTTAATTTTAATACTGGGTAAAACAAGAAGTATAAATACTCACCAACAACATCTACGGTAATAGAAGCATTAATAACGCCTTGACTGCTGCTGGCAATGCAGTTGTATCTTCCTTTATCTTCAGTTAAGACTCCGTTAAAGTGCAGAGTTCCATTCATATCTGTTATGTGACTATTTAAATTTTCTACGGGAACTCCTTCTTTTTCCCAACGTATGATCGGCGGCGGAGTGCCTTGAGCTTTGCAATGAACTTTAGCTACGCTGCCTAGTTCCATTTTCTTGTTGACTGGGGCTGGGACAAATTTGAGTTGTTCTAAAAAAAATAAAAATAGGGAAATTAATGTTAAAAATAACAAAGTGAAATCCGGCTCGAAGGACCAAAAAAAATCAACTTACCTATAACGGATATAGTTGCAGGTTTGGAATAAACGGGCTTTTGTCCGGCGGTAATAACTTCGCATACGTATTCCCCTCTATCGGTCGCCTGCGTATTGCTAATTATCAAAGTTCCGTTGTGTTTAAAGATTTTAATTCTCGGATGAGATCCGGCAGATTCGTCGTAATCGTGTTTTAAAGTTTTGCCATCCTTTCTCCATTTCGCCATCGTGTGTTCTCTGGATGCCGATTCGAACTCGCAAATGAGAGCCGATCGGTCGTTTTCGTCGACGGTTACGCTTTCTGGATGAACGATTATTTTCGGTTTTGCTGAAATTAAAACCAGTTATAAAAGTTATTTGAAAAAATCGTGCAGGTGCCATTAAAAATTGAGTTTTTTTAAATTTCTCATATATCTTGTTTAAGTTTAAGTTTGTTTAAGTTTGTTTAAATTTGTTTAAGTTTGTTTAAGTTTGTTTAAGTTTGTTTAAGTTTGTTTAAGTTTGTTTAAATTTGTTTAAGTTTGTTTAAGTTTGTTTAAGTTTATTTGCTTGAGTTTAAGTTTGTTTGTTTAAGTTTCTTTATTTGCTTGAGTTTGTTTAAGTTTGTTTAGGTTTGTTTCTTTTAGTTTTTTTTAGTTTCTTTTAGTTTGTTTCTTTTAGTTTGTTTCTTTTAGTTTCTTTTAGTTTCTTTTAGTTTCTTTTAGTTTCTTTTAGTTTCTTTTAGTTTCTTTTAGTTTCTTTTAGTTTCTTTTAGTTTCTTTTAGTTTCTTTTAGTTTCTTTTAGTTTCTTTTAGTTTCTTTTAGTTTCTTTTAGTTTCTTCTAGTTTCTTTTAGTTTCTTTTAGTTTCTTTTAGTTTCTTTTAGTTTCTTTTAGTTTCTTTTAGTTTCTTTTAGTTTCTTTTAGTTTCTTTTAGTTTCTTTTAGTTTCTTTTAGTTTCTTTTAGTTTCTTTTAGTTTCTTTTAGTTTCTTTTAGTTTCTTTTAGTTTCTTTTAGTTTCTTTTAGTTTCTTTTAGTTTCTTTTAGTTTCTTTTAGTTTCTTTTAGTTTCTTTTAGTTTCTTTTAGTTTCTTTTAGTTTCTTTTAGTTTCTTTTAGTTTCTTTTAGTTTCTTTTAGTTTCTTTTAGTTTCTTTTAGTTTCTTTTAGTTTCTTTTAGTTTCTTTTAGTTTCTTTTAGTTTCTTTTAGTTTCTTTTAGTTTCTTTTAGTTTCTTTTAGTTTCTTTTAGTTTCTTTTAGTTTCTTTTAGTTTCTTTTAGTTTCTTTTAGTTAGTTTCTTTTAGTTTCTTTTAGTTTCTTTTAGTTTCTTTTAGTTTCTTTTAGTTTCTTTTAGTTTCTTTTAGTTTCTTTTAGTTTCTTTTAGTTTCTTTTAGTTTCTTTTAGTTTCTTTTAGTTTCTTTTAGTTTCTTTTAGTTTCTTTTAGTTTCTTTTAGTTTCTTTTAGTTTCTTTTAGTTTCTTTTAGTTTCTTTTAGTTTCTTTTAGTTTCTTTTAGTTTCTTTTAGTTTCTTTTAGTTTCTTTTAGTTTCTTTTAGTTTCTTTTAGTTTCTTTTAGTTTCTTTTAGTTTCTTTTAGTTTCTTTTAGTTTCTTTTAGTTTCTTTTAGTTTCTTTGTTTGTTTTTGTTTCTCTTACCGGAGTACCAAATTTACCAAAAAACTGAAATATATTATCACAAGTGACTTAATAAATAAAAAGTACTTACTAGTTACTATAATCTCCACAATTTTTTCAGTTTTTCCAGCAATATTTTCAGCTACGCACTTGTAGTGACCAGCATTCTCTAATCTTATGTTATCAATAATAAGTCTGCCATCGTCAACTCGTATTTCACCGGTATCAGATATCTAAAATAAAATAATAGATTAAAAAAGCCAAAGTATCTTTTCAGAAGAAATTATTAAAATAGTTACTTACCGTGTGTCCGTGTCTATTTTCCCACCATTTTTTGGCAAGCGGTAGGCTTTTAGGCTCCAAACAAGACAACTGGAAGGTATTTCCTTCACCTACGATTCTTCTTGAATTTTCTGGCAATGTCGGTTCAAACGAAGTTGATACAAGTGGTTCAATAACTAAAAATATTAATATTGGTATTAAAATATTAAGAGGTAAAGAAATATTCACTATATAGTAATATTTTACTACCGATACGAAGCTGCGACATCAGCTTTAGTCTAGCGGAAACATCCTAGCCCTGTCTCAGTTTTCCCAAGAAATGCTCTAATAATTACTAGAAATCAAAATCTATCCAATGCTAAAAAATTATTTTATCTAAAAAACTATCTAAAACTGATCCAAAAATTAGATGTCACTAATGACAATTTTACTATTTCTCTTAATTTACTTCATAAGAATAAACTTCAAATGTTAAACAATCATTTTGTTGAGCTCATAGTTGAATTTGTCCAAGTACTCACATGCTAATTTTAATTCTGCAGTATAACTTTGAGGAACGTCTGTAGATTCACTTCTGATTCCCACACAACTGTAAATGCCTTGATCTGATTCGTCCACATTGTTAATTTGTAATGTCCCATTTGAATGTACAGTTAGTCTGAAATTAATAAGAGCGTCAAATGGTGTGTACGGAAAGACGATGGAGAATGTACGGAAGTTTGTAGAATATTTTTTAAAACGAACAAAACTGTTACCATATAAATCCTAAATAAAAATTTCAAAATATAATACAAAGCAAGCGCAGATTACATTTCGTTTATTATTATTATTATTTTAATCAATTTTTCTTATTCTCCTGTTCGACTATTGCCTGCGCGAAACGGTAACATTTTAAGGCGACGAGTTCTATTTTATCAAACAAATTAGTTATGTGTTTAAAATGATTTCTTATATAAATTACCTGTTATTATTTTCAAGTCTGTCATCTTTGAAATACCATTCAATAACGTCAGCGTTTTGGTATGAACAGTCTAAAAAAGCAGTGCCTCCTCTTTTAACTACAGTATCTGAAGGAACAGTTTGAATCAGAGGTGTGTGGTTTCCTATAAATTTAAAATGAAATCAAAACGAGTACCTAAATAAGTAAACATTTATATATTAAAGAATATAAAACAGTTTCATGATAGAAATACAAAAAGTAAACTTTGTTTACTAGTGAAATGTGTGATTATTATTTTGTAAACATATTTAAAAATTAATATTATAAAATTTAAGTACAAATTTACCATTCATATCTTAAATATATTGAAACCCTTCAATTCCAATACATTTAAATAACAAATCCATAAGCAAATATTGCCATTCATAAAATTTATAAAGGGTGTAACAAGAGGTAGGTCATAAATTCTACTAGTAGAGTTAAAAATTGTTCGATTAGACTTATTTATATACAAAAAAGTTATAGCATTTAAAAGTTACCATGGAGATCATTTTAAATATATATGTGAGATACCTACATATTTTTCTATTTAGATAATTTTATTTATTTTTGCGGATAATTAATATGGTATTCACGGTCAAGAATCCATTTTTGGAAGTTCTAGATCATGTATACAAGTTTCAAAATCATTTAAAACTGGTTCTACATTTAAGAATCCATTTTCCGGAGTTAAAAGATCAATTATATAAGTCTCAAGACCATTGTAAACGGGTTCTACAATCAAGAATAGTTTTTTGGGAGTTCCAGATCATGTATAAAAGTTTCAAGACCATTGTAAACGGGTTCTACAATCAAGAATAGTTTTTTGGGAGTTCCAGATCATGTATAAAAGTTTCAAGACCATTGTAAACGGGTTCTACAATCACGAATCCATTTTTGGGAGTTCTAGATCATGTATACAAGTTTCAAAATCATTTAAAACTGGTTCTACATTTAAGAATCCATTTTCCGGAGTTAAAAGATCAATTATATAAGTCTCAAGACCATTGTAAACGGGTTCTACAATCAAGAATAGTTTTTTGGGAGTTCCAGATCATGTATAAAAGTTTCAAGACCATTGTAAACGGGTTCTACAATCAAGAATAGTTTTTTGGGAGTTCCAGATCATGTATAAAAGTTTCAAGACCATTGTAAACGGGTTCTACAATCACGAATCCATTTTTGGGAGTTCTAGATCATGTATACAAGTTTCAAAATCATTTAAAACTGGTTCTACATTTAAGAATCCATTTTCCGGAGTTAAAAGATCAATTATATAAGTCTCAAGACCATTGTAAACGGGTTCTACAATCAAGAATAGTTTTTTGGGAGTTCCAGATCATGTATAAAAGTTTCAAGACCATTGTAAACGGGTTCTACAATCACGAATCCATTTTTGAAAGTTCTAGATCATGTATATTAGATGGCAAGCAGGTTCTACAATCAAGGATCCAATTTGAAAGTTCTAAATCATGTTTACAAGTCTCAAGACCGTTGTAACGAGTTTTATAATGAAGAATCAATCCATTTTTAGGAGTTTTAGATCATGTATACAAGTCTTAAGACCATTATAAATATTTTTTGCAATTAAGAATTCATTTTTTGAAGAAACGGTTTCTACAATCAAGAATCTATTTTTGAGAGTTCTAGATTATGTATACAAGTCTCAAGACTATTATAACGAGTTCTACAATCAAGAAATAATTTTTGGGAGTTCTAAATCATTTTTACAAGTCTCAAGACCATTATAACGAGTTTTACAATAAAGAATTCATTTTTAGGAGTTTTAGATCATGTATACAAGTCTTAAGACCATTGTAAATAGATTTTTCAATTAAGAATCCATTTTTGAGAGTTCTAAACCATGTATACAAGTCTTAAGACCATTATAAACGGGTTCTATAATTAATAATACATTTTTGGGAGGCCTAAATCATGTAGACAAAACGGGTTTTACAGTCGAGATCATTATAACGAGTTTTATAATCAAGAATTTATTTTCCGGAGTCAAGACTATTGTAAACAGGTTTTACACTTAAGAATGCATTTTTTGGAGTTCTAGATCATGTATACAAGTCTCAAAACTATTATAACGAGTTCTACAATCAATAAACCATGTTTGGCAGTTCTAAATCATGTTTACAAATCTCAAGACCATTGTAACGAGTTGAACAATGAAGAATCTATTTTTAAGAGTTATAGATCATGTATACAAGTTGTAAATGGATTTTTCAATTAGTAATTTATTTTTGGAAGTTCTAAACCATGTATACAAGTGTCAAGACTATTGTAAACGGGTTCTACAATCAAGAATTTATTTTTGAGAGTTCTAGATTATGTATACAAGTCTCAATCCATTTTTCGGAGTTAAAAGATCAATTATACAAGTCTCAAGACCACTATAAACGGGTTCTACCAAAAATAATGCATTTTTGAGAGATTTAGATAATGTACATAAGTATTAAGACCATTGTAGACGGTTCCTACAATGAAAAATCCATTTTTTTGGAAATTGAGACCGATTTTTCACTCTTAATTCTATTATCATTAAAGTTAAGATAAAAAATAGGCATTTCTACAAATTTTAAGTTGTTCCCAAAAAATTGTAAATAAATCAAAGATTAAATGTCTTAAATTTAGTAGTTTAATTTGTGTAGAAAATTAAGTTCGAACCGAAAGGGTTAATGAACAAATTTTTGTGATAAAAAAATATAAACATTGTCTTATAGGTACGATTCTTATTATTATTAGGAATGAATAGCACGGGTATTGATTTCAATCGCGAACTGTCAAGAATAAAGAAATAAACCTACCGGGAACAGCCAATGCGAAATTCTTCGTGCTGTGTTGTATTCCAGCCTCGTTCTTGGCGACACATCTGTAAACACCGTTGTCTGACGGTTCCACGGACTTGATGTGCAACCTTTTCTTTTTAATTTCAAGCCTGGCTGATTTCGTTAAATGGTCTGTGTTCCTGTAATCAAAAATAATGCACGTCACTTTTGTCTTCTTTTTACACCGTGCCACCCCCGAGATTCGTTATTTGTTCTAGGTGGATCTTTTTTCGGTTAGAATAATTATGCTCGTCGTTTTTAAATGAGTATTATAACATTAAAATTGAACAATGTATTTTACGTATTTTTAGCAACCAATAATTGTCATCTTTTTCGATTTTGCTTTATGTATTCATTTTTTCTTTTAGAGTATTTTAAAAAGAAAAATTTTTAGATTCCAATGTTCTTATCAAATTGGTCGGCTTATTTCGTGTATTTTCCCAGTTCCAACGAAAACAAAACTTTCTGAAACAAATGTACGATGTTCTAGTTAGTTGCCTGTTAAAATTGCACCATGTTTCAGCAAATCAACAAACATGTTCCATAGAAAAGTAACACCGCGTAGAAACATGCACACTTCCGAAGGAAAACAAAATTAACGTCCCCAACGAGCGCTTTAGTGGCGTCCCACCGTTTCCTGCTTTGTATCGCCGATCAGTGTTACCACTACTGGGGAATTAAAGGGACGATAAATGCATTTTAACGCCCCCTCTCGCAGAAACCACTCAAATTGGATCTCCCCGGACGCATTTGGATGACACCTCGTGAATGAATGTCAGGTCAATTCAATCAGTATGAATTTAAGAAAAAAATAATTGAATTAGGCTTGATGGCTCAGGTGGTTAACGTCACCTATGTTTGTGAATAATTTGTTAATTATTTTTGAACTGATTTAAAAATAAAGTAAAATTTCTATTGAAAGAGACTCCTTTTTAAACATTAACTTTAGCAATTATTATATAATTAATAAATTAATTGAAGAAACTAATTATTCGAGGATTAAAAAATAATCAAAAGCAAAATAATAAAAAAAAATTATTAACGAATATAAGTCGAGTGGAATTATTAAGTTTATCATAAATAAAATCTTATACTTTTTCATTTCATCTAAGAAAAATAAATGCTTACCGATACCAATCGAAGTGGACCTCTCCTGAAGCATCTAGATGACATCTCAAAATGACGTTACTGCCTCGTTGTATAAACAATGCAGATTCGGGTTCTTGTAGTTGCACAGAAGCTTCATCGATCCCTAGAACGAAACAAAAATAATTTAGATTTTTTGATGATGATATAATTTGTTTAGAATAAAAAAGGAAAATAATTTTAACTCAAATGTAACCAAGACGTAAAATAAAATAAGCACGCCATGTATCACATAATACAAGCAACCAATTTCCTTCAGAAAATAACTACTTCTTTGGCTAATAATGCAACAGGTATTGAATTATATCCAAAGGAAGCACAGCCGAGATAGAAATTAAATTTTAACACTTAACCTTTTTTTAAATTTATTTTTTAGTATAACTTCTTTTTTTATGGAAAATATCCTTAAAATTTTCAGATTCTTTTGGAATTAAACTGAATAATAATTGTTAATCCTGCTTGTTTGTTTTAAAAAACTTACATTTTCCTCAACGCTTTTACTTTCTTTACAATACGCAGGATATCATTTTTCTTATCTTATTATGCCATCAGGTATTCTTTAGAATTCAGAATTTTCTCCCGCTCGTAAGTCTTTGAAAAGTTCTAGACTAAAATTGAGTTCTGTAGTCGAAAGGCAGGCACTTCTTGTTTGTACAAGGTGTCACAAAGATATTCAAGTTTATTTAAAAATTTAATTTAAATTATTTTAATACGAACACTAAACAATTTTAAAATAGAAAAATTGATAAAAAAATAAACGGGAAATGTTATTAAATAAAATATTTTCTTACATTACTATTTTCTAAATCGTAATAGTTCTATTTTAGGGAAGATTACAGTGGTCGATAAAATGTACAGATCAATTGCCATTCTTCAGTTGTACAGTGGAAACCAAAAATTCGCATCTTTTTGTGTATAAAGCTTTATTTAAAAAATGGAAAAGGAAAATTTTACTGATAAAAAATTTGTTATGAAGTTTTGGTTTAGTTTAGGTTTATAATACACCAAAATTTTAAATTTTAACAATATGTTGAATTTACGACATATTTTGCTTCACTCTGTATATTAACGACGTTCTTTCAGCATTTCCGAATTTCTGATCCTTTTCACCACACAAATATCTTTCAGCGTAATTTTTATTTAAATACTTATCTACCAAACTGATTTTTGATTCTAAAATTAATTTTTTTTTGGTCATGAAATTAAATACAAATATCTCGACAGAGAGGAAGTAAAATTCCCTGTAAAAAGACTGGAATATCATTACAGAACACCCTGTATCTATGCGATATTGAAGAATTTTAGTTGGTGGCAGTTAGTGGGAAAATATTAAACTGACCCCTGTATATCAAAGAAAATTGAATGCCGATGATCTGATAATATTATTTCCATTTTTATATCCTTACTTCATCCTCAGGGGACGGAGCCAGAAATTTTTCATGAAGGGTTTTCTGAAAACTATGGGGGGGTTAACAAACGGTTAATAGCAATCAGCGCCAATAAGATAGCAGTGGTTCTAACCCCCCCGTGTTTACGCCACTGACCATCTTACATTGATAATTACAACAAGGCTTAGTTTTGGGACCACTATTAGTTTATGACACTTTGGATAAATACATCAATGATATTAGTCCTAAACATTTTTAATTTCCTTTGCTAAACTACCTCTGAACTTTCAATAAAATTTATTATTTAAAGTACTCCGAAACGAACTTTCATAATAGAGACATCCTGTAATCCCTAACGGTATCCATTCGACATTTTTTTTATTTTTTTAAAGTTTCTCTTCCGCTTCTTTAGAAATTCCAAGTGCGTCTTTGCCAAGTAAAGTAGCTTTGAGGTTATCTCGAAAATTGAGTCGGAACGACGTCCCAAGTCTCGGGATATTATAAGCTGATGACTGCTGAAATTATTACGGAGAAAATATATCACGACCTAATTTTTTAGACGATCGTCTGCATGGAATTTTAAGCAGGAAAGTAGTATGAGTCTATTTCGAAAGTTACGTGACTATGTTGCTTCTTGGAATAATTTATAAGGTGTATTCTTTTTGCATAATAATGAAAAAATATTAATTCTAGAATTTTATAAATTCTTAACAAGAGTACTGTGAAAAAATGATACGCATTTTTTCACAAATAATAAATAATATACATTTTAGCTAGTAAACAAATTTTTGTATGATTACTAACTATAGTACTGCAGTCAAGAGCGGGGAACTGTTGCGGTACCTGAGTACCGTCGGCGCTTCTGCAGACCGAACGATTTGAGTCGCCTTGAGTGTCTAGTATGATCAGCTATTGTTGTTAGCTGATTCTCACGCATTGTGTTTTATCGGTAATTATTTGGTAAGTAAATAATTATTTGACTTAATAATTAATAAAAACTAAGATATATATGTACAGTAGGTACATTTTATTCTCTAACGTTGCCACTTTAGAAACTTTTTCAACTTTCCATTATATTCTTAAGACATACAAATGATCTAATAATTTATGCTGGATATCATATAATTGTCAAATAAATGTCACAACCCAAATATCGATTAAATTTATGATATCGTTAGCATTAATTAGATTACGTTATTGCATTTACTCCTGTATACAAGGTGGTGATGCTTGTGGTTACTTGCTTGTTATAATTAATCCTAGTTTAAATTAAGTCAATACAAACATTAATTTAAACAAAACTTTGTATGAAAAATGTTTGTCTTCTAAAAACTTATTTTCTTCCAATGTTGAGAATTTAAATTTGATAATATAGTCAACAAATTTTGTAGAAACGTCTTGAACTCTAAAGAAAGGCCGAAAAGAATTCCTATTACTGACATACCTCTCTAACGATTTTCCCAAATCTGGTAAATTACGAAGTTGGGAGAATGAAAGGAATAGGAAAAATCAAGTGGAGGGTCCCTATCTCTTGCAGGTAATAGAGAAAATGCAGATTGCCGTGAAGTGGAAATTGACATAGGTTGTTCCCTAAAGAAGTGCTGATTTGGGATTGGTCTGTTTTCTACATAAATCAACTGTTGAAGCTAAATTTTCTAGATAAAATAAACTGTTTTTTTATATTAATTCTACTCTAAGTATTATTGAACGATTTATAATATGGAGCATTTCAACGAAAAATAAATTAAACATAAGTTTAAAGAAAGATAACTTTTGGGTACTAATTTAATTCTATATTACATTTGTCATGATTTAAAGGTTATGAATTACCATTTAAGCATAAACCTAAACACAAACTCATCCTTTACCAAGAATTTGGTATAGATCTGAAAAGAGTCCTCTACAATGTTCTTTGCAGTTGTTGTTGATTTTACGCACAGAATCCATGCTGATTTCCTGTTATAATGTTGTACCCTTTCAAGAAAGACAGAAGACGATCAAGAAAGGCATATTCAAAGTTTTTAGACAGACCACAAGGAATAGCAACATGTCTATAGTTTTCTATTTTTCTTATGCAATGGTAAAACTTTCCCCAGTTTTAAAACTTGAGGAAAACTGCCCATCTCAAATGATAAGTTTACCAAATATATTAAAGATTCAGAGAGAGCATCTAATACTTGTTTTAGTACAAAACATGGTACGTCATCGGTTCCAGAAGATCTTTTGTTTTTAATTTTCCTAATAAATTTATTAATTCTGTGTGAGAAAATGGGGTGAGGAAAAAATAATCTTTATTTGATGTTATTAGTAGACTTTGTTATTATTTTGTCGACCAAATGACCAGCAGCATATTTAAAAAAACTATTAAACTCTACAGCTACCTCCTGTGGATCATCCAATAACATCCCGTCCTTTTTTATGACAATAGTTGGAACAGAACTTTGCCTATTTGTTTGTTTAAACTGCGCTATATTATGTTCGCTAAAATTTCTATTCGCTACATTTATTTTTGAAGCCCAAATTGTTACCTTGAATGAACTGTAGACATTAAGACATTTTTAATTTATTTGTTTGATGTTTTTTCATCAAATCACATAAAGCAGCTTCTGTGGTATCTGGATTTAGGCGATATGCGTGTAATGTACCGTACCTTAAACTCCTTCTACTTCATTTTGTTCGCGATTGCTCCCTACTACAATTTTTGTCTTTTATTACGCTTTTTATTAACAACTGTTTTCCAGTTAGTTTCAGTGTTTGTATCACTAGTGATTTCTTCATTCATATTTATGTGATTTTTTAATATTACTTCACCCTGAGCAAAAGAAATTCTCGCTAAGACCTGTTAATGCGTAATGTATGTTTGTTTTAATACTGTTTTAATACTATTTTATACTATTTTCTACTAATTTTTTACTATTCTCTACTATTTTTTACTATTTGCCACTATTTTCTACTATTTTTTACGATTTTCTACGATTTTCTACGATTTTCTACGATTTTCTACGATTTTCTACGATTTTTTACGATTTTTTACGATTTTCTACTATTTTTTTGCGATTTTCTACGATTTTTACTATCTTCTACTATTTTTTACTATTTTCTACTATTTCCTACAATTTTCTAAAATGTCCTACAATTTCCTACAATTTCCGACAATTTCCTACCATTTTCTACGATTTTCTACGATTTTCTATGATTTTTTTACGATTTTTTGCTATCTTTTACCATCTTCTACTATTTTCTATGATTTTTTATGATTTTCTGCTATCTTCTACTATTTTCTACTATTGTCTACTATTGTCTACTATTGTCTACTATTTTCTACTATTTTCTAATATTTTCTACTATTTTCTACTATTTTCTACTATTTTCTACTATTTTCTACGATTTTCTACGATTTTCTATGATTTTCTACGATTTTCTACTATTTTCTGCGATTTTCTACGATTTTTTACTATCTTCTACTATTTCCTACAATTTTCTAAAATTTCCTACAATTTTCTACAATTTCCCACAATTTCCTACAATTTCCTACCATTTTCTACGATTTTCTGCTATCTTTTACTATCTTCTACTATTTTCTATGATTTTTTACGATTTTCTACTATTTTCTACTATTTTCTACTATTTTCTACTATTTTCTACTATTTTCTACTATTTTCTACTATTTTCTACTATTTTCTACTATTTTCTACTATTTTCTACTATTTTCTACTAT